ATATTTACGTCAATTGACAGCTTAAAATGTTAATTTTTTAATTTTTTGTCCTTTTCGTCATATTGAGGAACGCTCCAATTCATTATTACTTTCACTATGTAAAAGTATTTGTAATTATATATAACCAATATATGATGTAAATTTTCCAGAAAAAGCCAGTATTTTGTTGGTAAAGTATCCTTTTGTCGGCATCCCCTTAAACGGTCTCATTAGGGAAATAAGAAGTAAGATGAAAGATAGAATAAAAGTAAAAAAATGCCTAAACTAGGCTAATAATATTAGTACCTAATTTCGAACAATGTTATTGTTTTGATTTTTAAACACAAATATTTAACCTCGACATAGAATACACACACACACACATATTTTTTTTAAAAAGTTAAATATTAATACACATTTAATTATATATTTAAATATTAATTTTAATTAATTTTAATTAATTTAATTAATTTTAATTAAATATCACATATTTAATTAAAAAGTTAAATATTCGTATTTAAAGACCAAAACAATAAAAATGTCCAGAATTAAGTACCAGTGTTATTTGTGTCCAAGTATCGGTACTTTTATCTTAGCAATTATCAAAGTTATCTAGGCACAGCGGTATGTCCAACTATTGAAGGTGTAGACAGAGAGAACGATCAAGAAATTCGATCTATTCATCCGATACTATTAAACAGATGACTTTACAAAAATTCACGCAAAGATAAATGTGAAACGTAAAACGAAGTTTCATTGTGAAAGGTTATATTTCCGAAAAAATCAGTTTACTAAATTGGAAAGTCAGTAATATTCTTGCGCGCGCGCTGTTTTGAGCCTGGATATCCGATCTTGTGTTCTACTTTATCGAATTACTCCGTCGGCACAAGAATTATATATTCTTAAATCGAAAACAACTGACACTATATTAAAGATCTTACCGCGATAATGGGACGATAAAGAGACAATGAACAAGCGCGCGCTTCACTTTATCGAATCGCGTATCTACGTGATGTGTGTGCGAGGCATAAATAAACAACCAATTTTCCATGATCATTATATTTCGCCAGAGGTCGTGCATCGGAGCATCTCGCGAGTGCAATATAAAAACTATCCCCGACAAAATTAAATTACCGCGTGCGCGGAGGTGGTTATCCTACACCAGCGAATTATCGCATCGTCCTCCTCTAATAATGATATTAATTTTCCGACAACCCGCTATTTCCCCCGATCATTACATCCTTGTCATCGCGAGGATAACCGGCGATTTATTTGGCCCGAAAATTGCTACTAGGCAACAGCGAGGAGAGAAAGAGCGAGAGAGATTGTTATCCCGATTGCGCGATCGGGAATACGACGGCGTGCTCGCGATCATCCCGCGATAAAGATCTCATTATAGGAGTGTAAAATTGTGAGGGATCTCGAGTGAGGTGGTGGTCGAAGGGCACGGGGGAGGGAGGGGGAATCATTTACTCAAAGCTCAAGATTTTCTCCGCGAAGGATGAAAGATGCTACATACGACACGCTGCACCGGAATTCGCGTCATCTTTGTTCTGTTGCACTGATTGTTTTAAGGGAATGCTGAAGTTAAGAACTTTACCGAATATTGACAGAATTCTGGGCTCCCTTTTATCGATATCTTAAACACCTTAAATGTAGCTTCTCAGCCAATTAGATGGCTAAGTTAAGTACTTTACCGAATACTGACAGAATTCTGGGCTCCGTTTTATCATATACATTATACATTAAGCACCTTAAATGTGGCTTCTCAGCCAATTAGATGGCTTCTAAGCTACTTTTAGAGTCACTTTTATCGATAAAAGTGAGTTGAGAATATGGAGCATAAGCATTTTCTCTCACAGTGCGTATTCCGATTACTCCATAGCCGTATTATCTGTTCGGCCATCACAGATCGAACAATTTGAAAATTCTCATCGTCACGTTAGATAGATACCTCGTATCTTTAAGGTTTCTCTATGAGAGGAATTATACAGAATGTCTATATTTAAGTGTCAAAGCGCTCGATAAAGCTCGTGAAGCTGAATAGAAAAACTACTTAGCAAATAACTAGGACAATTGTTCTTTTATTTCGATCCACAGTAACAATATTAACTACTTCACTGTTACTATAGACGATAGAGAGAATTTGAATAAATGAGAATATATGGGAATATATGGGAATTTGAATAATTCGATCGCGAATGAAAGAAGTTGCGTGTTAACGGTTATAAAGTGCAATTTAAAAGAAAAATGATAACAATGGGAACTTTACTTTGATTCACATAGTGTCTGAGTTTAGATTAGACCAAACTCATTAATCTGAATAGAAAAATTTTCCGCCAATTTGCAAGCAACTGCGATAATTTTTGATATCTTAATTAAAGGAAATTGATCAATTAATGCGTAATGCGATGGAATAAGCTCCGCACGCTCGTTTGCGAAACGATTCAATACATTTTCTTCGACATACTTCCAACGCAACCGACATCTAATGGGAGAATTTGTTTTTGAGTAATTCTCGTAGGACAGATTCTTTCATTGAATGTAGGATGCGTTTCGAAATGTGTTAAGAAAAAGTTTCGCAAATGGGTGTACACAATCTGAAAAGACACGTCTTGGGCTTCTTGACTGTTTCCCAACGACGGTGCTATATCGCATAGCGCGCTCCGATTGACCAATTTTACTTCATCCATACCTCGATCACTCCCATAGTAGCTTAAAAAATAGAATATTCCTCTACTCATACTGAAAGAAGATTTTGTTTTGTCGAAACGAAAATTTGATACACTGGATCATAATTTGGTTAAAATGGGATTAATCAAATACTTGGTAATTGTAATCAAAAAATTTAACTGTCACTACACGTGTCTTACTTTCGCAATAATACATGTACTCGACACAAATGAAAAATATGTAATGCCAATCCGAATGGTACGAGCAAAATATTTTAGCTCCAACTACAGAAATAATCTTTTAAGTGCAATTTAACGAGTGTTACATGTACACAAGCGGTCAAACACTCTGCACACTGAGTAAAAAATACTTGGAAATTTATTTATGGGATATAAGATACGATTATTTACGAAATAAGATTTATTTCTGAGATAAAATCTCAGTAAGATAATGTCTCTGTGAAAAATAAATGTTTATCTCACGAATAAATTCTCGAGTATTTTCTTCTCAATGTATACACATTTGGCCGGTGTGCGTACAAATGACGAAATCTAACGGTACTGCGCTAAGTCGAATGGCTTGCTCGTAATTTGCGAGGCGGTTGCGCACAGCGGGCGCCCAGTACACGTCCTACACGCGAAAATCGGCCTTTACGCGAGCGAATCGTGCGTCACGTTGGAGCGACCGGTGACCGATGGTAAACGCGTCTTACGTAAACGGCGTAATTTACGAGCAGCGGACGTTAATTAACCGGGGGAGAGGGGGCGATTTCCGGCAATCAGGCGCCCGGTTTTTCCCGGGCGCCTCCGCGATTTCTCAGCGCGGAAGTACGCGCTCACAACACACTCGTGATCGTGATCGCGCCCGCGCGAGGATTAGACCACGATAAAAAGAGAGAGAGAGAGAGAGAGAGAGAGAGAGAGAAAGGTTTCTTGCACGCAGATCGACCAGCGAGCGGCAAGCCGGTCATAAAAGGCCGCTTATTATTGTGATCGGACTGCGCGACGAATCGCGGATGCCACTGACTGCCTAGGCAAGGCAGGGAGGATATTGCCTGACGGAATCGATTTGGCGAAGAGATAGCGAATTAGACACCGTGCGCTCAATGGCTTCGATCATCCGCAAGGGGCACCTTGCGCAAGGATCGAAGAAACGGAGGAGGAAGCGGGCCTTAATTGCGGTCATTTGTCAAAGCGCGAATTGCTTTTAATTATGAATAGCTCTCGACTGTAAAAGTCAGAAAATAGTCTGCTCTTATGACTCGCTGTGACGACGGTACAGGTAAAGTCAAGAATCATGATCGCGATCTACAATTGTTGGCTGTAACGCGAATCCTGCCCCGCTCGTATTTTTCACCCTAACTTCCTGGCGTTTACGACAACTTTAGAGAATCATGATTAGGTTTAAGTGATATGAGCGTTGGGCTCTTACTTCGCGTGTCTAGTAAATTCACTGAAAAAAAGAGATACTCGGAAATTTATTTGCGGGATATAAAGTTTATTTCACAGAAATAAACTTCATTTCACACACATACATATATCTCGAAATATAAACTTTATTTCACAGAAATAGACTTTATTTCATCGAAATATAAACTTTACAGAAGTAATCTTTATATCTCACAAATAAATTCTCAAATATTTTTTCTCAGTGTAAACAAACGGACGATACTTTTCGAATTACGAGCAAATAAAGCCGTGATTAATGTAAAAGTATCAATGCCTGGACACGTATTTGACTCTGGACATCCTTATTATTTTTATTTTTATTTTATGTTAAAAGTTTAAATATTCGTGTGTGTGTATATATACACACACACGAATATTTAAATCTTTAACATAGAATATATGTATATATTCAACATATGTGTGTACATTCTATGTTAAAAGTTTAAATATTTGTATTTAAAAACCAAAACACACAATACAAATGAGAATATTCAGAATCAGGCATTAATACTTTTACCTTAATGTTATTGAGTAAATCTCATACGATTCTCTACGATTCTCTCAAATTCTGCACGATTTGTTGTTTGTTATTGATCTTCACAGCTTATACTGAGAAAAGAAATACTTGAAAATTGATTCATGGATATAAAATTTATTTATTCATGGAATATAAAATTTATTTCTATAAAATAAAGTTTATTTCCGCGAGATAAAGTTTATTTCTGTGAAATAAACTTTTATTTTTGTAAAATAAATTTTTATCCCACAAATAAATGTTCATGTATTTTTTTTCAGTGTAGCTAATATCGATATATTATGTGTTATCTAGCTGGATTTTGTTTTTCATTTTCTTATACTTGGAATATTTATTGTCAATGATCAAATATTAAAATTGCCACACGCAAATCATCGAATTCTAGCTTGAGTCTGAGTGACGTATTTTGAAGCTCACTTTAATAAGTGAGCTTCAAAATACGCCATTGAAATATCTCACTTTCAATTCAGACATTAAATTATTCGAATGTTCGCATCCTTAAACTTAAACAGTGTATAATTGCGCTTACTACTTCTCAGTGAAACTCAACGCGTTTTACGTCTAAACGTGCACTACATAATAAGACTCTTTGCGAGTGTTCATGTGAAACACTCACCATTACGCGTTGATATTCCAGATCCACCAATGAAACTCCATCGCTGTATCTCAACTGCATTGCCCCATGTCCAACGTCCAGCCTCTGCGACGATCAGGCGTCGTTCCCCGTTGAGCATACTTCGCTAATTACACTTCACTCGCGACCGCGATATTTTTGACAGCGTTTAACAAGCGAATGAAAAGTCCGTGATACACATTCCGGCGTTTCGAAAATACGTTCCCGAGTCGCGAGTCGCGTATAAATAAATTACGAACTGAAGATTACGATGCTCTTAACAAAGTCGGGAAAAAACGTATTACGGATCATTATATCAGAAAATATGGTCGTTCTTATGCGAGGATGTCAATTTTTGAAGCAAATAAACGGACATTGGAACATTATAAGTGATGTTATTGTCTTTGCCGCATGTTGATTACACTTCGCTAATTATACTGTACTTTCACGATGATGACGGCGTTTGATAATTGTGAACGGAGAGAATATATTGACTAGTACAAATCCCGACGCTTCAAAAATACGTTCATGAGTCACGAATCACATGTAAAAGACCATAAACCGTGGATCACGATGCTTCCGACAAGGTCACGCAAAGAAGAGAATATCTCATCGCAAACGACTATGCTTTGTGGGAAAACATGGTTATCGTTTCGTGAAGACTACATGGTACAATATTTAAAATAAACATGTGGACAAGTCGAAGGCAGCAATAATTTTCGTTGAAACGATGCTGCCTCCATCGCTTACGAAAACTGATATTGGAAAAGTTGACAATTACGCGATTTATAAACACGAACGAAATGAACATTCACGATATCGCGTGCGCGAAAATCTGGGCATCGATTCAGCTTCGCGATTTTAATGCGCATCTTGTATTTCTCGTGACAATCAGGGGAATAGCACCGAATAAACAACTACATCGAATAATTCTAAATATTTAGTCAAGTATAATAAGAACATTAAAAAGTTTCTGCCTATATAAACGCGTGTTTACACTAAAAATTACGTATAAATGTATCTATATAGACACGTACACGTATTTTCAGCTATATCTGCTACGTAATATGAGTATTTAAAGAAACGATCCTCCGATTATCTCGAGCAATGTATCTCAATGGGACAAACACAAACATACAAAATTCTATAAACTAAGTAAAACGCATCAATTCCTAAGATTCTACAGACCCACTACCAAAAAATCCATTATCTTTAATTTTTCATACCTTTTTCTTGGAAATCTACCGAAATATCAAAAACTCAAAGTCGACCGTGTTCTGCTACAGGTCTGGAATAGAAAAAAACCATTTCACTGATTAGATACGAGGTTTAATGGCTTAACGTAAAAAATGAGCGTAGATATGCTAGTGGGTTAATCGTTCACGAGCGTGATAACGCAACCGATTTCTATCCGGACTGCGTCCCAGTTTTTCATCGCAAACAGTGTAAAAGTTAAGTACAAGAGTGCAGGAAAATTGTCAATTCACCTTCTGTCCCTCGGCCCGAACCGGATCCTCCGGTACAGCATCCGAAACTGCACACCCCCGCACAAAGAAAAATATCATTCTACTGTCAAAGAAAACGATTACTCAATTTATTTTCCTTCTTTCAAATCATCTTCAGCAAAAACATCATGAAACTTTAGAAGAAATTGGCTCGTTTCTATGCAGTGAGTAAAACTGAATTTTTGTTTCAATTCGATACTCTTGATTGAAATGCTGAACTTACAGGGGATTCAGGATGTATTTAAATAAATTTGATGCTTATGATGAGCATGATAGATTTGCGAATACATAAAATTATGAGATACTTGAAACAAGTAACGTATTCGAATACAGTACGTATTTTTCTGTGTGCGGAAGTCGCACCCACCGTCCGGCCGCGACTGTAATAGATCTGAAACAAGAAGCATATTTTCTGGTTAGTTATATCAATAAATATCTGAATATTAAGAGGAAATCAAGGCTTGCGAAAATGATATATCTCTCTTAAACGAATCAAGATGCAAAGCGATGGTTATCTTAAAGATCATAGCTTGCTATAAGATAATCGTAACACTATGAGCGTAACACGCATATAATAGAAAACGCGAATATATAATATGTCCACGTCATACACTCTAATCTGGAAAAGTCGGAAGTCACGCGCGACGTCTTCCGATCTCTTTACTCTCGCGTCAAGGACTGTTAGACCCGATCTACTATAGATAGAGTAAGGAGTAGGAGTAGGAGTAAGACGAAATGGAAATAATTATTTCGCTTACTCCTTTACTCCAATAAAAGTTTGCCTGTCTACATCACATTGAGTAAGCCTAAATTAAGTAGTAAGAGCTGGAGTAAGGGAGTAAGCAAAATAAGACCCGATCTACAATAGATGGAGTAAGGAGTAGGAGTAAGAAATAAGCAGTAAGTAAATAAATCGATTATTTTTGAAACGTGAGAATGGAATTGGTCAATTTGCTTACTGCTTATTTCTTACTCCTATTCCTACTCCTTACTCCGTCTATTGTAGATCGGGCCTAAATTATTTCCATTTCGTTTTACTCCTGCTCTTACTCCTTACTCCATCTATTGTAGATCGGGCCTTATGGTGCGCTCGCCCGCTGGCGTACCTACGGTATTGTTGTCCCCGTAAAATCACATGTCCTTCAACGAACGAGACGTGCCTGAAAGCACTGTTACGAGATTTATTCGCTTATTTAACGTTCCGCGTGTTGTGACATCAATATTATTATCATATTAATATTTTCATATTATTATTATCACATTAATATTATCATATTAATTTTTATATTATCTAAACTTCCCCTTACGAAACTGGCAACACGACCTTCGCGATAGCAGTTTACGGTATCGGGAGCTAGGCAACGGCTTACATCGAGATAACGTCGTAGAAATTAGTCTCACGAAAAAGAGAGCAATGAGAATTTGCATGCCTTCCTCAGTATACGACACGTGTATGTATCTTTGATATTCGAGAAATAACGGGACATCTCGTTGCGCTACTGAGAATGAGTGGAATGAAATCGCCGCTACAATTAATGAACCCATCATCTCCTTTCAACATTTGCATTTGCGCGCGTGTCATCGACGGGTTTATCGTCTCGGCCATGGTTCGTCGCGCAGTGTGTCAGGCGTTATTCCGTATTCCGTCATACATATGTAACGTCGAGTTAACCCATATTCCGATGCATAGCTTTTCGTACAAACCCAGTGATTCTCTCCCACTCTGAATGCGACAGGCGTATTTGACTTTTTAAACGGCGAAAGTATCCATCTATGACGCTTCTCGTCTGTCTTCGCGACTCGTTTAACCCTAGAACCTTAAACATGTGTATAAGATTTATCCAGACCAACTTCTCAAGCATTATCGTTCTTACAAACATGTGTTTGGTTTTATTGTTGTAACTTTTTTCAGCTTCATAGAATCGCGAAAATATTAATAAGTTCATATTCTTCAAATTTTTCTGCACCGAACAAAAAACAAGGATTAAATTTCGATCATTTTTCTGAAAATTATGAACAACAAAAAATGCGCTGTAAAAATTTAATCGTGTTTAAGGTTCCAGGATTAAAAAAGAAACAATTAAAAAAATATTTCTCGCGATAATACGTCTGTGTGAACAATGTCGGCCATCACGTGCATTTATCACATTAGTGATTAACGACTGCTCCTTTCGTAACAAACACTTGGGAAAAAACGAATATGCTGTAATGCCACATTGTGACGCACATCGTACGAGGAATAAAAAATTTACTTAACCCTAAAAAATAGCATGAATAGCTTTTATTTATACCGAAAGCCTTATGTAAACTTTCCCTCTAATATTTGTTTTATCATCCTCTAAAACAGATATCACTGCTTTTTATTGCGATATTACTTAGATGAATAAAAACTCGTCTCTACTTTAATCGCATCATAGGTTATCACTATCTTTTTTAGGCTTTCACTACCTTTCACTATCTCTAAGGCTTTCAGCATGAGTAAAAGTTACTCGAGGTCTAAAAGCAGTCTGTAATTTTATCTGCAGATAAGAAGTGCGCGTTAACGATTTTTCACGCAGTACAAACACATTCTTACACATGAAAAAAACAATTCCGTTGGTGCAACCAACGGAATTTTCGGTTGTTTAGGGATCAGATGAAAAAACTCGGCTGTAGGAACAGAAAAATTCCTTTATGAGGCTTCGGTATAGTCAATTGTTCTCAGTTGCCTCAATCGAGTTCTAATATCGCTGGACGTTCAGACGAATATTTTCGGTTGCGACAACAGAAATATTAGTTTTCATAACAGAGATATCATTTGTGATCAATATTCGGTTGCATTAACTAAGATTTCTTTCCGTGCATGTAATGTTCGCACCATAGCTGTATTCATTAGGTATATTTTTTTTCTTCAATTATCCGACCAATTCATTCATTCTTAGTCAACCCAGAAGGGAAAAAACTAAAAATTTACAAGAGGAGACAAATCTCCATAAACAGAAGAAAGAAATTCTTGTGAGTCACTAAATACGACTTCCTTAGTTTTCAGTGAAAAAAGTTATGAGACTAAACTGTAATACAAGTAATTAAACAATTGGAACAAAATCGTCACTAACAAAATTATTATTAAAAGTGACTTATTTTGGTTCCTTTAAGGGACCATTTTGACCTCTTTGCTTTAGACGGATAGAAGCGCTACTATCGTAATCAGCGACTGAAAAAACGTAAGATTGTATATATAACTTACGTTATTATTTAACTTAAGTTAAAATAGACCTTTGTTATTCCTATCATCCTTTACAAAAACAACCTGTTATGTACCTAGTGCTGTTGTTCGGTTGACAAATTGCGATTCTCGAATCGAACAAAGTGATTCAACAGAATTCGGGTTCCTAGGACATGTAGATAAGTACATAAAAAATTGTTGGAACGACGTAGATTCGGAAGTATAAAAGAAGAAGAAAGAGAGAGAGAGAGAGAGAGAGAGAGAGAGAGAGAGAGAGAGAGAGAGAAAGAGAGAGAGAACGAGAAGGGAAAAAGAAGAAAAGGAAAAAGGAGATCGAGAGAGGGGAATGATCGGTAGTCGATAGCGGCTGCCCAATTCGACTTGCATGTCGCGCGAGAACAAGGCCCTTCGGCTTGGCTCAGCTCGTCCGGCATCACAGCGGATATTTGCTTCGTCGTGTGCACGTAGAGAAACGCGCGAGTGAGTATCAGCAAGGCCACGGGGGTGTATTCTCGGCCACGCACCGCGAACCATAACATTCCCCAGCCGCCACCATAACGGAGCCTACCCTCCTCGTGCTTTTCGCGTAAAATGCACGCCCGAAGCGCATATCCTTTCCACCGTCGAAGATCGCGGCGTACGCGAGTCCGTTGACGGAACAGAATATTTGGATTCTGTATCAGTCACTACTTTTACTTTGAGGGGAGAGGTAACCTAAAATTTTAAAAGAAATGTTGATTCATAAAACAATATTACCGTCTCCCATGATTTAATTATTCACACTAACGTCCCTCTCTAGCTCGGTCTTATATTTCTCATATAATTTGGTAGAAAAAAATTATTCTGAAAATTTATTTTTTTAGAATTATTAGTAGAACTATAGTAAGAATAATAATATGCAGATGAAAAGAGAGAGAGAGAGAGAGAGAGAGAAACAATTGAAAGTTCTTTTCTAATATTAATTTCATATTAATTTTATATTTGCATTTTATATTTTTTTATGTATATGATTTAACATTAATTTAATATTAATTTAGTTCTTTTTTAATATTAATTTAATATTAATTTAATGTTAATTTAATTTCTTATTATCATATTACCTTCTCAGTCGACATATGTGGATGCTCCATGCGTGAAGTCAAATGTCTTGCATGTATAAAAATCATATTTCGCTAAGCTAAAAAACGCAAAGAAATTGCAAAAAATATAATAAGAATAATACGCGACCGAATCCAGGTGCTAATAACAATAAAAATCTCAATGAAAAACATAACATGTAACATAACATGTAACATAAAAAAAGGGAAAAATGCATGACGTAAACGTAAACGTTAAGGCAATATATCTCGCGTAATATATTACTTAACACCAAACTCGTCACGCGCGACCAGGCCGCGTAATACCAGCGACGAGCTACATACTTTTCAGCGAGAAGTAGAGCGATTTAACGCTGTTACAGCCGTGCATCGACATGAAAGTACAATCGAAATCAGCGAGAGAAACGAACGGCGAGGACAATGAGAAAAGAAACGAAGGATATTCTCTACCACGAAGAATACTTTCTTAAAGTGAATCAGTCAAAATATTTCGAATTGAATTAGCAAAAAGAGCATTTCGCTGAAATAAGGATTTTGTTGTTAAAACGAAAATTTGTTATACTAATTGCAACAAAAGAATTTAATTGTTGCTTTGTGTATTCTTTTTCTTTTTTGTTTTCTTATTCCACTTGACCCGAATGAAAAATTGGCAATGCCAATCAAATCATGTATATCAAATATTATTTTAGTTCCAACATAATTTTATCAGTATTTATCGATAATTAGTAAATATCAATTTCATGATTTTCAGTGAAAACACTCCCACTTTACTGCTCTCTCTTATATCTCACTGATTTAGACTAATGAAAGTAAGATTTCACTTCACAAAATCTGTAGTATACAAATTCGTTGTACCGTGTCAAATTCAACTTTTTGTATTTGTGGCGATGGAATTACCGGTTTCCATGCGAATTGCGTGCAACGACACTGTCTGTGTTTTGCAAACTGCATCAGGCAGATGGCAGCAGGCTATTAATGACTGATCCTTTCAGTGAGATTTTACTAATTGCAATTCTATACTTATGATTGAAGTCAGTTGTAAGTATAGCATTTCAATGACGAATGCACTATTCGTATCTTATAATGTAG